AGAGAGAGAGAGAGAGAGAGAGAGAGAGAGAAGGAAAGAGAGAGAAGAAAAGAGAGAGAGATGAAGAAAGGATTCATATTATTGCTCTTTAGGGATTAGGGTCTCTAGTTCTGCGACAAGCTGTACTCTCCATCTTATAATAACAGAAGCCTACCCTTACTTGAATGCCAGCGTTGTGTTCTCTACGTTCTCGTTATGCCTAAAGACTCCGATTAAGCTAGGAATCCTAGTTGGTTCGTGCGATGCCATATTATGTGCCTAATTTCTTATGTTCTATCGCTTTTAAGTGCTATACTTTATTTTGCGTAAAAAGAGCGTAGAAGAGCACTTTTCTACAGTTTATCAATTAAAGAAAAAAAGAGAAAAAGATATATGCATTTTTCAGAAAATTAATAAGCATATGGACTTCTAAAATAATTCTAAGTAATTTTTAAATCATTCTAATATTAATAATAGATGCATTAAAAATTCTAATTGTTGTTTATAATAAATTAATAAATTAGTTGTTTATAATAATTAATCTAATAATACTTATATTTGGGCAAACGTACTTCTCACGAACCTTTACGGGCAATAAAGGGATAGTAGGCGTAATCTGTAGAATCTCTCCCCTCTCTCTTCTCGTCAGTCCTTACAGTCGTTTTGAGGGAAAACAAGACATTTATAAACACCACCACCACAACCACGCGCGAGATTAGATTTGTTAAGATAATGAGGCGCCCGGTTTAGCGAAGCGCCTCCAGCGTGCTTGCAACCATCATCATGAAGAGCCTGCAACCGCCGTCTCCTTAATCCCGGATATGACTTTGCACGGCGAGACGGTTAGACCATTGCAGGATGCAGACTTGCGGAAGGATATGTGTTTACGAGCCTTCCTAACAAATTTACTGAGGCAAAAATTGTTTACGTCGTTACGAGTGTTACAGACATTACACACATACAGAAAATGAATTCTAACATGCATCTAATATACGGATATGTTCAAACGCAAAGCTCTTACATTCGCTAAGTCTAGAAATTTTCTCCAATACATAAAATATATTTTTATCTACTATGTTTTGCATAAAAAAGACACCAAAAATTAGAAAAATATGTAATAATTATCTATACTAAATAAATTTATTAT